GCCCGGCTATTTTTTGGTTGCAGCCATCATTGTTGTTTGGCGGGTCCGGGCTGGGGATTTGAACCCTCCACCTTAGGTGTACATGGCTGGCGCCTTAGCCGGTTGAGCTATAGGAGCCGAGCCGAGCTTGTAAGTCTTGAATGTAGGGAAGGTACTGAACTTAGTGAGTCTGTTTCTTATAGGTAACCACAGAAATCAGAAAAAATTAAGGATTTCACACTTTTGCCAAATTACTCCAAGTCCGTTCTCTGAATAAATCATATAATACTGAAAAATATCAGTCTATAAATTTAGGGGTCACTGGGCAAATTACTGAAAAAAGCTCACAAAAGCAGGCTCCCTCTGTCACATTCTAACCAGTGTCTCTCCACTTGGCACTAGTGGAGAGTGGGATTCTGGGCTGGATCATCCTGTGTTGCAGGGGCTGTCCTGTATGCTGTGGGATGCTCAGCAGCACCCCTGATCTCTACTTACCAGGTGCCAGGAACAGCCCCATTTAGACAACCAAAAATGTCTCCAGTCACCTCCTCTGGCAGTCACTGCACTAAGCCAGCTGCAAGACTAGCTCAGCATGCTCAAGCCACACCTGTGCCCTCAGACCTGGGAACTAGGCTCATGTGATGGCTTGGAGCCATCAGGACAGGCTGCCTCCACACTGAAGCATGCTACTTAATTTACACTCCATCTACATGATTAACCAGTGAACAGAGTCTAGAATCATGGAAAAACCCTGGTCAGACCCAAGGCTGAAGATAATTAAACTCAATTTTGGATCTCAGTATGAAAAAAAATTAAACATGTTTAAAAAGAATGAATTGAGGTGACAACATAGTTTTGCCAGGTTTTTTTTTTTTTGAGATAAGAGTCTCAAGCTGTCGCCCTTGGTAGAGTGCTGTGGAGTCACTGCTCACAGCAAGGGCTTACATAAGTGATCCTCTTGCCTCAGCCTCCCAAGTAGCTGGAACTATAGGTGTCTGCCACAACGCCTGGCTATTTTTTGGTTACAGTTGTTGTTGTTGTTTGGTGGCCTGGGTTGGGTTTGAACCTGCCAGCTCTGGTGTATGTGGCTGGTGCCTTAGTCACTTGAGCTACAGGTGCCAAGCCTGTTCTGGAAGGTTTTAAAGTCACATGCTTTGTTGTCAAGTCCTGTGACAGTGACAACATCATTCCCATGGCAAAATTGCAACATTTAATAACATCTTTATTCTCTCCAGCTTTATTAAGGAATAGCTGACAAAATGTATGCATTCACGGTGTGCAATGTGTTGATGTAAGTCTATACTGTGAAGTGACTGAATCAAGATATGGACATATCTCCTGGTAAGATCTTCACCATGGACTGGGTTCAGAGGTACCTTCTGCCTATTTACTGGCCCTTTTCAGATGTTCTAGGCAATCCTCCTAGGGACAGTTTCCTGGGCTTTTCTCACCCAGGACCCTGGATACCAGCAGTGCTGCAGCTTGTCTCCTATTTGGCAATGGAGGCAGACGACATCTCTTGAGGTCCCAGCAGTCTGCACCACGTGCCGAGGACAATGTCTGCTGCTGAAGCACGTGAGCATGCATGCGGAGGCAGCGGCAGGATGGGTGATATTTAGATATTTAGGCTACTGTCTTTATGGAGGACAGATCTCTGATACATTATTTACAATGCTGTAGAAACTGTGACCTTTACCAGTAGGAAGTGTGCTATCTGTGGCCACCTTACCCACAGCACTGTCAGGGCCTATTGTTAACAGCTTAGAGAACAAATTAGGTGGCTCCTATGTGCTCTGAGTCTTAGGAACACTCAACAACTGCAATAATTTGCATTGCATCAGCATAAATTCCTTTTGGTTCTACTGATAAAATGAATCCTCTAAAAAACTGAAGAATAAAAGGGAAGATCAAGAAAAATGGCTT